AAAAAAAAAAATTAAATACTGGAGGAAAAACACCCAACCTGATGTGGGCCAAGGTGACTAAGCAGACAATAAAACCATGTTCTACTAACAACAAATGACCACTCACTCTTGTTCCATTTCCTCTGCAGCTTCTGCTGAATGGTTGGGCTAATAGATCAGACCAATTTGAAATGTGAATTTAAGGCTTTAGCTGTGAAGCTACAGGGCTCTAGGCTGAAAAAAAAAATGTACATACTTAAAAATAGTACCTATTAAATTGCTTTATGCTCTTCTTAACTGTTGCAAAGAAAAAGAGGGATCACATAGTGGGGCCTTAGGTTGGCCACTTGAAGAAACCTCACATGCACACTGCATATTTAACCCAGTATATACACTCCCCAGGCAAGTCTAGTGAAGTACAAACTGTTAGGTTTCACACTTGATGGTAAAAGCAGTAGATGGCAAGACTGAGCTGTGGCCAAGCCCGCAAAGTGGTAGCCTATGGACTGCTTTGTCCTACAATTTGACAGAGATCTGACATTTAAAAACTGGGATATGGAGAATCTCTTGAAAAGCCGGAAGTTCTGGAAATACCAGGCCAGCAACCCTGCATAGCCCCAACCGCGTGCTCCTTCAGACGGGCTGACCTCGCAGATCACCACAGCCCCACCTGGCCCGCTGCACTTACTCACCTTTCCTGCCTGGCCCCACAGGCACTTGGGTTTGGGATCCTGGATGATGTGATTAAGTTCACAGGTCAGGGCCCTCTGGGGAGAACAAATATATGTGTGGGGAATGCCTTCTGTAGACACAGGAAGCAGTTACTCATTCTTATATTGCTGGAGAAGTAACGCAATAATCAATGCCTCAGTGTTCCCTCCAATCTTAATAATGCATAGGCCTTGATAAGATTAGGAATATTTATTAGTCTTTTGAATTTAGCTTGATCCGCTCTTTGGGAAGAGGTCAGAACCCTTTTTCTATCTAAGTTCCTTCCTGGATAGCAGAGGATGACAGTGGATAATGATGCTTGGTACTGTCCACGTGTGATACTTTATCCAAGAACCTTCAGTACAAGCAAAAGTTATAAATTTTAAAGTTCAAAAGATTAAGCAATGGGAAGAAAATCTCATGGTGAAACTCACTTCATATAAAAGTACATGCAGATGTGCTGAAATAGTACTTCTTAACAGCAGGGTATTTAATGCAGCATGGTACCTTTTGGCCAACATTTGCTTTTGGTCATTAATTTATCGTTCTTCACGACTATAAAGGAAGTAGCAGAGATGTGATACAGTGTTTTTCTCTCTAATGTTCCTGAGTCTGTGAGGTTTAGTGATCAGCATGTTTATTTCCATAGTTAATCATTGAAGTAATAAATGATTTTTGGTTTTGTGGCAGGAAGGAACATGTTTTGTAGTCCTGACGACGGCTAGCCCAGTCTGCAGGACACTAATGAATAATACTTCTTTGGAGGCCCAGGGATACTCATTTGAAAGAATTTATTTATAATACATCCTTGCTCCAGAGTTGTTCTTTCTATTATGGATGTTTCCAAATATATGGCAAATCAAATGAAATGTGAGTTTAAGGCCGCTTTTACTTTACACTTTAGTGAAATGCTCAGCCAAGAGAAGTGATAACTTGGCTGTGCTATGCCGGGGGGACCAAATACAGTTCACCCTCTTTGAGGGAAAACAGTTTTGTAAACACAGATACACATTATCACTTGAAAAAGCCCACTGTGATTGAGGAGGTGAGTACAAGAAATGCTCCTTCCTCTTTCAGTGGCTCATTTTTTTCCTCCCTCTGCACTTTAAGCACTGTATTTGAGAAGTTTGGGGGGAAAAAAGTTATAGCAGCACAAATGATTGTTAGCAAGAAAAAGAAGCTGGAAAAAAAAGCAAAGATTATCTGTGCACATGTCCCTTGTGTTGTTTCTGTTACAAGGTCTTTTATTTATTTAGATAAAGACTCATTGAATCAAAGATTCACGAAGGCCTCGTATCTGGGTGTTTCATCCCCAGTAACTAAGGTCCATGCGCAGGCATAGCACTGATTGAGAGTTTAAATGTTTATTTAAAACAGAAATGCCAAACCACTCCACCCTCAACCTTTCAAACATCTGGCTAACAATGAGCTAGTTCTTCAGCAACAATGTCAGAGCAGAGGAGTAACTCAGGTTATACTATAACTCAAAAGCAATACTACTGGGAAACTGGAAACACCTAGCACTGCAGAAAGAAAAGCAGGACAAACTTCAAGAGAATTAGCTACAGAAAACCATTCAAAGGCATTTCTGCTGCCTTTCATTTTTATCAAATGCATGGCTGCCACCTTTGAACTGGTTTCTGTTTGCATAGCTATTTGGTGGGAAAAATCATATGGCTGTCCCAGGCACAATTGGGAAAGTGCAAATTGTCTCTAAGGCACAGAACTCAGATTCTCAGCCAGATTAACAGCAAACTAGACTTCCCGAGGGAACATGCTAGAGAAAATGAGCAGTGTTCCCCTGCTAGAGAATGGCTCCCCTCCGGAACAAGAGCAGTGCTCTCTCCTCCCTTCCATGCTCACATCCATCCCTGTCTCAGCAACATGCCCCTGTTCCTCAGTTCCACAGCAGAAGCAATACTCAGGATTAACACCCAAACTGAGCCTGCCTCTCAGGCCTGCTGAGATGGTATAAGGGATACAGGAACGTGAAAAGCCAGTCAGTCCTTAAAAAAATCAAAGGTGCATTTACATGATGAACCAAAACCCACTGCTGGGGTTTACAGCAAACCCCCAAGTCCCCAGAACTTGTAACTTTAATCCGGGGTTGGCCCCTTCCCTTATTTTAAGAAAAGGCTTTAGTGATTACGTTAGTACCATTGTACTAGGCTTCCCAGAATTGAGAAAACAATGGGAACATCAAACCAAAGAAAATCCCATTGAACAGAGTTGCCCATCCCCAGCCATGGGGTTTTCCCCAAGCATCAGCCTTTATCCCACCAGTTTTAGGGCAATGGCAAAATTTCCATTGCACAGGTCCTTCCAAAATATTAAAGAGATATCAAACATTCATTTTTTGGTTTGGGGAAAATGAAACAAAAATTAATTCAGCGGTTTCTAAGGAGGGAGAATGTGAGACTCATCAAGGCAACTCCTACGACCCAAAATACTAAAGGAACATTTCATAAGGTTAGGTGAAAACACAAAGCTCACATCCTTAAGTAAAAACCATCAAAAGCTTTGAGGACACTCTCTCTTTGGGAAAGCTAGCTTGCTCCTTGTCTATAAGGACATAATAATGACTATGGGATTAGAATGGAGCTCTCAGCCAAATTCCTTTCACTTGGCAGCTTCTACCTGTTCTGTGAGGCTTCAGGGACTACCAGGTTTTGGTGCTGGCTTTGGGCCACTCAAGTAGGAAAGATGATACAGATTCACTGATATAGCTTCATAAAACACCAAAAGGGGACAAATACTGACTAGACATACAGAAAGGGAGTGGTTGGGGCTGCTGAAGTCAAAGTTAGAACCCTAAAAGCCACGAAGGCAGAGGCATTCTAGACCTTCCTAAGATACCAAGTAGAGGCAGCTAAAGGAGGACCTCTCTCCCTCATGGTTTTCTCTTAAGGCCATTCCTATTGCCCCACTGATTCAATTTTCTAAGAGACACCTCACCTTTTTGAGGTACCTTACAAAGTCAGGAAATCCTACCTGCATCGGCCACAGACGGCAACCCCAGCTGTGTGACGAGCAGGGACCCTAGCCTTCTTTCTCTCCACCTCACTGAAGACATTTTAATTGACCCTCAGAGGAAAAGCAATCTAAGCCCACTTTTCCTCCTAAAGCATTTAGCTGCGCAAAGTAACTGAACTTTCTGAAAACAAGCCCTAGATCGACTCCACCAGACATATTTTCCCAGACTCAGGGCTCCAGAGAAGCCTTTACCGCTTTACCACTCTCCAGATGACCCTGCCTGGGCCCCACCTGGTTCCAGCCCACTCGAGTTTCACACTTTTCTCTCCACCCAGAGGTGCAATGCCTGGTGCTGAATTCCCAAGGCAGCTTCCAAGTAATGGTGAAATGATAAATGGGATATAAGCTGCTACCAGCAAAATTAAGGTGAGCATTGTGTCTCCTCTTCGAAGGTGGGATCACCAGATGAGGTACAGAGCTGCTGTTGCTATGGCAGTCACTGAGGACAAAGCCAGGGCCACAGGGCCCTTCCATTCTCCAAAACAAAACCACTCCTAGATCCTATCTAATAGGCAATGCCACTCTCCAAGTGTACACGGAAAGTGCTTCAGAGCCTCCGCCTTGCATTCCTTGTCTGCAAGTGAACAAAGCCAGGAAAGCGCTCTCTGCATTCAGTAAGTGTGCTGTGAAGTTCTTTGGATCCCAGTTTCCTGGAGGCCATACAGGCTCAGGAGACTAGAGGCTGGGTCGACAGGAGTCTGTTCCCAGGAGGCACCAGGAATCTGAATCTAAGTCAGGCTTTGGATCCATTTCCATCTCTTCCTTTGCCGTCTGAGTTCCTCTGGAATGCATCCCCACCTGTCCAAACAAAAAACAATATTGTCAACAGTCACAGAGGTTCAGGACTAGGTTTCCAATGCTGACCTCTAAGGATCTGTAGCCACAGTTCTGTGACAAGCTCCTAATACTACTTTAGATAATACTTTAATACTACTACTTTAAATAAAATCCACACCTTTACACTTGCTGCAGGTAGGATGACCAACTGTTTGCTCAGGACTGTAGGATTTTCTGGAATGTAAACTCTCAATTTTATTTTGTTTTCTTAAAGATTTTATTTATTTATTTATTTATTCATTTGAGAGAGAGAGATCATGAGCAGGGGGGAAGGGTAGAGGGAGAAGCAGACTCCCCACTGAGCAGGGAACCTGATGCGGATTCATGCGACTCATGCCCTGAGCCAAAGGCAGACGCTTAACCGACTGAGCCACCCAAGCGCCCCAGAACTCTCAATTTTAAAACTAAGACAGCCCCAAGCCAAACAATCGTGTGTGCTATAGCTGCTTACCTCAAGTGAGTATATTACTTTCCAAAGTACTTTCATAGACATGATTTCATTTAATCCTCAAAACAACCATTCAAGGTAGATGGTGTTATTTTCCTCTTTTAGGTGAGAAAACAGGACTCATAGAAACCAAGTAATTTGTCCAGACACATAAAACTAGGAACTGGCAAAGCCAAGGGCTGAACCTTATTTCCCTTTCCTGGTTCACTCTAAATAGGGCAATATACTATGGCAATACTTTTAAAAACGATGCAAAAGGAACGCCTGCGTGGCTCAGCTGGTTAAGCATCCGACTCTTGATTTTGGCTTAGGTCATGATCTCAGGGTCGTGGGATCGAGCACAGCATCGGGCTCTGCACTCAGCACGGAGTCTGCTTGAGATTCTCTCTCTCGGTCTCCCTCTGCCCCTTCCCCTTTGCTTGTGCTCTCTCTCTCTAAAACAACAATGCAAACAGCAACACCTGTGAAATGTTGTTACAAAAAATGCTTAATTCAAATATAATCAAGCCTTAAGTCTAACTTCCAGTTTATAGAAATGACAGGGTGACAAAAGAACAAGTTAGATAATGTCTGATAAAGAAAACAGAGGACAAATCCAGAATGTGGCCCATTTTGTTAAACTGACCCTGCTTCTTTAGCTAGTCAGTGCCATGAAAATTAAAAAAAGGTGATCGTAGTAGAGGGAAGTATTCTAGATAAAAAGAAACGAGACATAACAATGTAGTATAGAGACCTTAATTGGATTCTGATCTGATAAAAACAGTCATAAAGGACATTTTTGTGGGAAAACTTGGAAAATTCTGGATACTGGATGAAAACTGAGGTAATATTAGCATAAACTGTGTTATGTGTGATAATAGTATGGTGGTTATCTGGGAGAATAAATGTATTTTTGGGTGTGTGTAAAAACTATTTAGGGGGCCTTTGTCATGACTTTTATAATTTATTTGAAAATGGTTTAGCAAAATAGTAACACACACACACACACATATACCCAGATATATTTTAAATACAGATATATATCCTCACATATTTTAAACACACATACACACACATTTAAAACAAGCAACATGTTAACAACTGATGAACCTAGATGGTGGTATGAGTGTTCACTGAACTGTAATGCTTAGTTTTTCATAATAAAAAGTAAAAGAAAAAATAGAGTAACAAAAAACAATGGAAGTCAGGTGATAAAGATAATTTAACGCAGGCACCTGAACAAGGCCCAGGGCTGCTGGGATTAATTACAAAAGTTACATCATCAAAATATAAGTACTTGCAAAGGAGTAAGTCTGTTTTAGTGTCTATTGGTGTTCTGTTTCTGTGATTTTTCAAAACAGAATTAGAGATTGAATTATTCTTTTAATGCTCTCACCTGCTGCCCTCCTTCTAATTTCTTGTTCAGCTTCTGTAGTTGAGTAAAAATCTGGAGGTTTTCTTGCTGTAGCTTCTGTTGTTCAGCCAGACACTTTACCACCAACCCCTGCAATCTCTCAACCTCCCCCTGCAGAGTGCTGCACGCACAGGTAGGAGTTAATGGCGCTGCCTTCCCAGCACATGTCTCTGCAGAATTCAGCCGAGGTGGCTGAGGAGAGGAGGAAGAGGTCATAGGCGGTTCTGCCTGGATGCCACAGCTCCCCAACCCAACCTCCCTCTAAATGCTATCAGATTTTACTTTTAAAGTAACATGATAAACCATACAGAAACACAAAGTAAATGCAACAGGAGCAGAAAACGCTGGGATTACAACAGCACTTCGCTCTAACATAACAGGGCAAGAGAACTCTCAGTGCCTCAGGCTCTGTTAGGCTAAGGTAAAAGAACAATCCTCTGTTTTGGAGAACTTCTGCAAACAAATTTAAAGTGCACTGATATCATCCCATTGAAAATGCTGAAGTGGGGGAAGGCATGATTTGGCTTGGAACGAGTCTTTCTGATCACAGTTGAGAACACTGTGATCCAAAGGGTCAATATCCATGAAATGTAGTGGATCACACTTTAGAAGACATTTGAGAGGTGTTCAGTAAATAGTACTGCCAAAATAATTCAAGAAAGCTAATTGACAGAGGAATTAAAACATTCATCTTGAAGTTTCAAAGGTTTTATTACATCTTTTCTAGTCTGGATTTCTCTCCCTTCTACTGTACTTTGTTTATAGGAAGGGTCAGCAAATAATAGCCCCTGGCCAAATCCAGCCTACTGCTGCCTGTTTTTGTAAATGAAGTTTTATTGGAACGCAATCATGCTCATTCATTACGTATTATCTATGGCTGCTTTTGTACAACAATGTCAAAGTTGAGTAGTTGCAGAAGGGACTGTATGGTCCATAAAGCCTAAAATAATTACTCTGTGGCCCTTTATAGAAAAAGCTTGATGACCCCTGGGGTTTGCATTTGATTGAGGCATTTACCACAATTTGATTTCTACCAAGGTTAGGCACACAATTGTGGCTCCCTCACTAGACTACAAGCATTATTTCTTACTCATATTGAGAGCCTCCAACCCACACTAGCAGTGTCAAAAAAACTGGATTTGAATTTTGGAACTTTAATTTTGGTACTTCTGAGGCAGAGAGAAAAGACAGACAGTCCTCTGGTGTAGAAAGCTGTTAGCCCATCAGGAATCTGAAAGGGTCAATACTTTTTTCCGAGGCAGACTCAGGTAAGCCTAGGGCTTTAAGCACTACTGAATAGACAGTATAATGAGTTGATATAGGGCAGTGGGAGACCGAGGAAGCTAGGGGAGATGGCGAGGCCAGAAGAAGTGTGGAGAGCTCTCTGCCTACTTAGTTGTGACTTAAAGGCAAAAAGTTCAGTTACCCAGGCTCCTACTGGGGGCTTGTGTTCCAAAGGAGCTTCAGAGGCCACTTTGAGTCCTTGTAGCTCTTCATAGGGCAGGGTATCTTTCTCAGATTCTGAAAAAGCTGCACTAAGGGGAGATGGGCTGTCAGGCATGGGGATGAATTCTGCATTTTCCAGCTCCTATGTATAAGAGAAAGAATCTCATCAGTTCTGTTTGAGCAGTTTATTTTCTTTCTCCCCAATTCCCATCTTGCTCCAGCTTTCCCTCTGTTGTGACATCAGCACCCTCTAGTGGAGCATGACAGTTGTGGGTTCAACGCAGCTCACTGTACCTGTCAAGAGCAGGCAATCCCTTCCTCAGATGAGTAACAGTGATTCGAATTCAAACTCAAATTCAAGAACACAGTTTGGAGTGTGTGGCACTTCTCCCCAACACACTTATTCTACACGGCCTATTCAGTGATCTGGGGAGCTCGAAGGTGATGACAGTGAGGCCAGCGGCCAGGCTGCTCAAGGCTGAGACTGAAACTTCCTCCATTCCTACTCCTACGTGGCTATCGAGTTTAGTTGTCTTATAAGGGCAGCTTTAAATCTCTAGGTTCTTTTTTTTTTTGGTAAAAATTTAAAATTTCACAAACTACAAATGCTCAATGTAGAAAATGAGAAAATACAGATGGGCAAAAGGACTAGCAATTCCATCACTCATAGATAAACACTGTTAAAATGAGGAATACTGCTTTCAGTTTTCATAGCAGACATTCTTCTATGCATTTATATTTTCTAAGAGAATGGGGTCCTGAGGCTAAGGTGTTCCAACTTTTTCTGCCCAGTCATATGTTGTAACCAACTTTCCATCCAAATAAATATACTCTAACATTTTTACTGTCTGCAATTCAACTCTCATAACCCATCTCTCTACTATAAAACATTCTGACTGCCCCAATATTCCACTTCTACAAACCACAGTACAAAATCTCTAAGCTTAACCTTTGCATACATGCATTACAAAAACTGCCTTCAAGGAAGGTTTTCTTAATTTACTTACATTCATGTAAGTACTACAGGTATGAGAACATTTTGTGTGTCTCCTTGTCAGGAAGAAAAAAGGATTAGAGATTTGGTAATTTTGTTCCAGGTGGAAATCAGAAGACTCAATGCCTGCTGTAGAATACTTGAATGGGGCACGGGACACAGAAAGATGCCGACAGCTCCTTTCTAATTGCTGCAAAGGGCCTAATGTTTTATCGAAGATACCTCTGCCAAAGGAATTACCTTTCGAAGCCAGCCAGGGCAGGAGCTGCTGGCCCCACTACTGATCCCCATGGCCTCCGTGGGACTGACTAAACCTTCCATTCCTCGGTCTGCTTCCATTGTTCCTCGGAAGCCTCCGCTCGGATCAGGAGTTTCAGATTCCTGCTGACTGTCCTCCTCTTCTCCCCCACCGCCGCCGCCTCCTGGGCTAGAGCTCTGAACCACTGACAGATACACAGCACAGAAAGAGAGAGCCTTGCTATGCAGCAAGAAAGATTTACGATCTTACAGCCCTGCTGACCCCTGGGGAGCTTCCTAGAGTCGCATGAAGTAATAGCAACAGTGTAAGTCAGATATTTGGGACTCAATTTTTAGCTTTTACACAACGTATTGAGTATCAGTATCTTCATAATGATAATTCATTTCTACATCCCAAACTTACTTATCTCTATGTTCACAGCAGATTATCAGTGTTCTAAAGCATTGCTGGACAATCACCCCAACCACAGCTAACTGAATCTACCACGCATACTTTGATACATCCAGACTCCGGCATTCTCCACCAAGGCTCAGCAAGGTTTCATATAAACACAAAGCTCTTTCACATTTGAGCCGAACACCTTTTAAAGCTGCCAGATAAACTCACCACTACCTTCCTTTCTGGAGAAGTCTTCAACCATTAAATTCATTAAGTTCTTTGATACCTACTTGTAAGAATTTTTAAACATGGCTGGGTCTTTCGCATCATGCCGCACATTCCAAGTAACTGTCACGAAATGAAGACTAGCTGATGTGTAGTCAGAAATGAAACTGAATTTTAGTATGGGCCAAAAATATATATATTTAAGAAAGTAGATTTGCCAAAGCTAAAAAAATAATTGTATGGTATATTCTAAAGTTAAACGTAAAGGACCGTCATCATCACCGGCTCCAGGGGCTTACAGACGGACTGCCACACTGATCCCACTGAAGCGGCAGAACCACAGATGCCAACAAAAACTCTGAAGCTTGTTTTGTTTTAAATGGCTTTTAAAAATTAGGATACATTTGAAATATACATAAGACTACTTTTAACATACGTGTAAGTTTTGCTACCTAACAAAATAAACAAAAACATAAACCTACCACTAGAAGAACTAGAATTGTACTTTCCAATATGGTAGTCACTGGCCATATATGGCAATTTAAATTTAAAGAAAATAAAAAGTTCAGTTCCTTCAGTAGCTACTTTTCAAGTGTTGGATAGCACAGACATAAAACATTTCCACTGTTGCGGAAAGATTTATGGGACAGTGCTGAACTAAAACATTACCTGTATCGCATCTGCCTTGTGAACTCCTTCCTTCTCTGGCCTCCTACCTAAACGTAACTACTGATTTAATTCTGTATTTATCATTTCTTCTTTAAAAAAAAAAGTCATCACATATTCATGTATCCTTAAGCAATATATTAATTTAGCTTGTTTTTTGACTTTATATAAAAAGGCACAGAGTCTGCTGCAACTTGCTTTTTACATTTCACATTAGGGAACTATTTGTAGATGTTCATTTCTACTCTTCTATAATATTCCATTGGATGATTAGAACACACTCAACCAACAAATATATACTGAACATTCACCATTTGCCGGGCACTCTTCTAGGCAATGTGGATAAAACTAATGAATTAAAAAAGACAAAAACCCCTGCCCTTATGGAGTTTACATTTTCCAGCCAATAGATATGTGCTTTTAATCTTATTTTTTCCATTAAATACTGTTCCACCAAAACAAAGCTGTAAGAGAACAGCTGTGTTTAGCAAAAAGATTGTCATTTGTGACAGATATTAACATGCACAGATAAATGCTGAGCAAGAGATTACTAAAGGAAACTAATAAAAGGTATGATGTATGTGTGTGTAACTAGAGTACAAGTCCAGATCAGATATTTACCTTTCTTTTTCGAGGATTAAACTGCTTTTATTCTGGGTCTTTATCTGCTTTGATTCTATAAACTATCAGAATACAGGTTCTGAGATACCAAAGAGTAAAGGTACTTTAGAGCAAATGGAAAACCAAAAAGGAACACAGATTTAGTTTCCTGGCATAGTCCCAAATAACAGAACCATGCAGAAAGCAGCCAAAGGAAAACTATCAGAGAGCTCTGGGCTGATTTTTCTAACCACACTGAAAGTTTAGCCAACTTTTAATTCCAAGGGCCTGTTTTGAAGGACTATTTCTATAGACTGGAATAACCCTGTGAATATGGTGGAAGTAAAGAGCAGACAGAACTCATAGCCCCTAGCATGGTAAGGAAAGGAACAATACACAAGCCACATTACAATATTGGGCAAGCCACTTAATTACTTCCATATGCTTGGTTGGCAAAGATGTACTCTCCCTCTGACCACAATGTAATAAAAGTCATAACTTATTGTGAAATCCACCAAAATATGATCCTCTCTCTTGATCACCGTATTCCTCATTTCCCAAAGATATTTCCTATTTCCCTTTTTTGGAGACTACATGGAATCCAACCCAAAGACCCAAAGTGCGAAAAACCACTGGTACCTGAGACATTGCTACTTACCAGTTCTGATGGATAAGCCGCTGCTATTGGAACGGATGGTCTTAGAATTCAATACTTTCTCTGAGGAAAAATATTCAGTAGGTAAGCATTGTAAACAGCTATAGGCAGGAAAAGTGAGAAGACTAGAATAGGGGGTTAATCTACAAGATAACAGCTATCCCTCACTCCAGGTAACTTTATAATTACTTACTATTCTAGATTTTAAAGCACCACTATATTCACTATGTAGTGTAGCAATTCTCCACTTTAACTATTCTTTGGAATTACCTGAGAAGCTTTAAATAGTAACAACACCTAGGTCCCACCCCAGAGATTCTGATTTAATTGGTCAGGACAGTGGATTTCTAAAAGCTCCGTGGGTGATTCTAATGTGCAGCTAAGGTTGTGAACCACTGATCTAAAAGAATGGACTTGGAAACCCTCACACAGGCTTTTATTTTTATTTTTTTAAAGACTTTATTTATTTATTTGACAGAGAGAGACACAGCGAGAGAGGAAACACAAGCAGGGGGAGTGGGAGAGGGAGAAGCAGGCTTCCCGTTGAGCAGGGAGCCCGACGCGGGGCTCGATCCCAGGACCCTGGGATCATGACCTGAGCCGAAGGCAGACACTTAACAACTGAGCCACCCAGGCGCCCTTCACACAGGCTTTTATAATTCAGTTCATAACAGAGTAATCTTTATGCAGAAAACAGTTATGATTTAGTTTCTTTTTAAAGGTATCCTGAATGTTTCTCACAAAAGTATGAACACAGACAACCAATTAATTAGTGGACAACTAGAGATAACAATTCTATAGCAAAGGAGGCAGAGCCCAAAGTTACCATGTTAAAAAATGGTCAGAAGGTGGCAAACAACAAAGCTCAGGAAATGACAGTGTTCTGTCCCACCACTAGGTAAGGTCACCATTACTACACTTATAGGAACAGCCTCTTTTCTTCAGGACACTTCTGTTTCTAAGAACGTGACCATCAGAATCTTAGGTGTGAGTCTACCCTCTGTCAAATCCACCCCAACCCTCACGTATGAAACCCTTACCAACGATGAGAATGGTGTGCCAACCACGGCAAGATAGGTCCGGGACGTGATGCAAAGATCCAAAAATAGGCCGAGGCCATGAAGTGCAGATATCAGAGCCATGTGGTCTCTCTGTGGGGGTCATTGCCAGGCGACCATTACCACCATTGCCCCAGGCAAAAATGTGATTATCTAGGAAAAAAATCAACAGTTTAATAGAAAACTAATTCCCCTACTCTTTGGGTTCCCCATCTTTATGTCCTAGAGTTAGAAAGATTTCCCACTATGTACAAAACAAGGAAAAGCTGTTTATTTCCCTAAATAAAACCTAAACAATTCCTGATGCCAACCTGGTAAAAACTACCACTTCTCCTATGTACTGCCATCCATCCACCCATCCACTCACTCAACAACTTTTTTTGGTCATTCACTCAGATATAAGTAAATATCTGGGCATCTACTTCATGACATGCACTGCTGGAGGTGTAGGAATAAAGCAGTGAACAAAACAAAGTCACTACCCTTGTGGAACTTACATTCTAGTTGGAGGAGACTGGTCAATCAACCATCTAATACTTCTGGTAGTCATAAATGTTATGAAGGAAGATAAATGGTAAAGAAAAGTGGAAATAAAGAATAACAGTGGGGTATCATTATTTTAGATAGAGTAGTCAGAGAGGTACTTGTTGACACTTGAGCAGAGACCTGCTTGAAGTGAGAAAGAGCGATGTGGATAGCTAGGGGATGAGTTTTCCAGGCAGAGAAAACAACAGCAAGTGCAAAGGTCCTATGTGGGTAACATGAGTATCATGAACAAGGAATATGAAGGCCCCTGCAGCTGGAGCAAAATAAAGGAGAAGACAGTGGTCAGAGAAGAGGTCAGGAGACAGATGCCGTCCTGGTCATGTAGGGCCATGCAGCCCATTGTAATGACTTTGGTTTTTACTGACTGAGATAGGAATCCATTAGAAGTTCTGAGGAGTAGGGGCGCCTGGGTGGCTCAGTCGTTAAGCGCCTGCCTTCGGCTCAGGTCATGATCCCAGTGTTCTGGGATCGAGCCCCGCATCGGGCTCCCCGCTCGGCGGGAAGCCTGCCTCTCCCCCCTCCACTCCCCCTGCCTGTGCTCCTCTCTCACTGTGTCTCTCTCTGTCAAATAAATAGATAAAATCTTTAAAAAAAAAAAAAGAAGTTCTGAGGAGTAGGGGCACCTGGGTGGCTCAGTCGGTTAACCAACTCTTGGTTTCGGATCATAAGATCATGCCCTGTGTCAGGCTGTGCACTTAGCGTGGAGCATGCTTGAGATTCTCTACCTCTCCCTCTGCCCCTCCCCCGCTTATGCGTACCTCTCTTGCGCATGCACACTCTCTAATAAATAAATACAATTAAAAAAAAAAAGAAATTCTGAGGAGTAGTATTTAGGTATTTAAAAGGATCCATCAGCCTACCATGAGGAGAATCAATTGCAGGGGACCAAGGGTGGTAGCAGGAGACCAGTTCTAGTAGTGAAGATGGTGGGAAGTGGGTCAGATATACTATGAAGATAATCAATAGGATATGCTGATGGATGGGATGTAGGGTATAGAATGAAGCTGCCATTTAGTGACATAGGAAAGCTGTAGGAGGAACAGATTTGGGCAGAAAATCAAAAGTCTGATTTTGACTATAGTAAGTTTGTCTGAGATGCCTATAACATCTTATGCAAATCAGAACACTTTTTAATGAAAAGGGGTACTATTAATGATAAAGCCTGGACAATAGGCATGAATGAGGACTGACTTGGGAAAATTGAGCTCTAAAGCCACCCTACCTTTAGACATCTAAGTCCAGGGGCTGATGAATAACCGAACCTGGAGTTCAGGGGTGGTGATATAAGGCTATATCAGTGAACAGGGGGAATTTAAGGTAATACTCACTTAATGGAGACAAGGCAAGAAAGAAGGATTGAGTACTGGGCATTCCAGGGTTTGGAGGGGTCAGAGACTGCTATCAATGGCACCCGATGTATCTGCCTGTGCTAGATTGTTTATATGACTGTCTCCCCTACCCTAGACTGTGAACTCCTTAAGGACAGGGGCTTTCTGAGACCCTCTTTTATATTCCCAGAGCCTAAAAGAGGACCTGGAGTACAACAGGTACTCAGTTTATGTTGGTTGTGTGAATAGGATGATAAGAGTACAGTTCAGAGATGTAGAGAAACATTTATTAGGAGGTAATATGCCCAACCATGGAATTCAATGCTACATTCCTCATTCTGAAGTTAACCTTGTGAAGGACACAGATGTACTGAAAAAACATCACCTCCTCGAGGCCCTGTCAGGAAGTGCTACTGGACTTGCAGCACTTACTTAATCCTCAGTGACATCCTCACTCTGTCTTTGTAGGTAACATTTCCATTTATCTCCGTTAAATTTATTTCCATTTTAGTCTGACCTTAACATTTAGTCTGACCTTAACAGCTTGCTCCCTAAAATCCCTCATTTTGGGACCAGTGGGGAAGGTTAACATGCCACCCCAAAAGCTGGTTCACTTAAATAAATATGGTAATAGATCACTTATCTGACACTGTCCCTGGATCCCTCATGTGTATACAACAGGCACACACCAAAAGGAAACAAAGACACCTTAGATCATGAGCAACAAAAAGAGCTGAAATGAGTCAAAAGATGAAATGTGATTTGTTGTTACCAGTCACAAGAAAGAAGTGGCTACAACAATCAAAAAAGTTCAGAAGGGGGGCGTGGGCGCCCAGGTGGCTCAGTTGGTTAGCATCTGCCTTTGGCTCAGGTCATGATCCCAGGGTCCTGGGATCGAGCGTGCTTCTCCCTCTCCCTCTGCCGCTCCCCCTGCTTGTCAAATAAATAAAAAAAATCCTAAAAAAAAAAAGTTCAGAAGGTGATACAGGAAAGAGAGAAAAGAAAAAAAGAAAGCAGGAGAGAGGGAAGGGAATAAAGACTCGCTCAAGTGGTAGTAAAGAAGAAGTGTGGTGAAAGGAGCAAGAAGATGCTGTGAGATGCAAGAAAGAGCAATGAGAGGAAAGAGAAGAAAATTTAGTTATGCCAATTCCAATTGTGGAAGCCAAGAGACACACAGTATTCAGCCCTTCAAGCCTTAGCAGTCCCTGAGGACATCACTGCAGTGTGGCTGACCCCGGCCAAGGAGCAAGGTTACATTATGTCATTCTCTCCAGCCACCCAGCGAACATTTATTGAAACCAACATGGTGCGGGGCCAGGTATATATAGAAATATTTAATAATTCTTAAAACATTTAACCAAAAAAGTTAAAGTAAAAAAAGTAGAGACTTAGAATATTAACTTTGCCATTATCTAGAAATGTTTTTTTGTAAAAGCAATCACTACGTTGAACACATGAGAAGTTAATGAAAGCTCCATCTGCATAACAATTGGACACCAATTTAGCGTAAATAAAAATAAACGTACGATGCAGCTATATAAATAACCAGTCCACCTCCTTCCCAGGCAAACACTAAAATACAGCTATCGTCCAGAAAGCTTGGAATGGTGTGTACAGACTCACCATCTGTGGCAGCGATGGTAAACTCATCACCGCAGGAAACCCTGATCACTTGCTTCCCACCTAGGGGTCCTCCCAACAGGTTGATTCCTAGACGCTTCTTGTAATTCCCAACGCCCAGCTGTCCACACTTGTTGCAGCCAAAGGTCAGCAGCCGACCTCGCTCTAAGAGAGAATAAAAACAAATAACCAGGCACAAATGGGGCATGGAACAGAGGGAAAATGCAGCCAAAGTAGAGTTCCATGGACTAGCTTCTGGTTGTTAAGAGTATACAAATAGAAAGCTAGCCACACAATCTTGCACCTAGGGCAGCTAGGGTATCTAAATCAATGACCAATTTGACTCAGGAAGTGACTCAATATCATATTTTCTCTCTACTACTGTATTTTATTTTTATTTTATTTACTTATTTTAAGATTTTATTTATTTGTCAGAGAGGGAGAGAACAAGGAGGGGGTACAGCAGGCAGAGGGAGAAGCAGGCTCCCTGCTGAGCAGGGAGCCCAATGTGGGACTTGATCCCAGGACTCTGGGATCATGACCTGAGCCCAAGGCAGACGCTTACCAACTGAGCCACCCCGGCGTCCCTCTAATACTGTATTTTAAATGTGGAAAATGGGTACTACCTAACTTAGTAAACTCATAAGTGGTACTAATTAAAAGCAGTAGTTGTCTGGAATTATGGGCATGGCATTCTCATTAAGGGATGTAGTGACCGTGCATTTATAATGATTACCAAAAAAAACATTTACTTGAATGCCTAATTTGTTAATGAGATAATACTGGATGCCGGGGGGAAAACAGGAGAATGTATATGTTTTTTTTTTTTTTTTTTTTGAGAATGTATATATTGTTAAGAAGAGCTAATACTTGCGGCACCTGGCTAGTTCAGTCAGTGGACCATGCAACTCTTGATCTTAGGGTTGTGGGTTCAAGCCCCACATTGGGTACGGAGATTACTTAAAAATAAAATCTTAAGAAAAAAAAAAAAAAGGAAGAGCTAACACTTGAGAGAATAAAAAGCATGAGCTACTGAGGCCTGTGTATAAAGTTGTAAATCAACTCACCATCAATAGCAGCTGTGTGAGTCTTGCCTGGGGCAATTGTACGGATCTTATAAAAGGACAGTTGTTTGGCCAAGGTAAAGGAGGTTATGTAGGGAACTTCATGGTATGCCTGGAACAAGGTAAAACACAAAGCAAAGACTCATGAGGTAAAAATGAAGGGGTAGTAGGCTGACAATGTTGTCATGGTGACCAAAAGGGCTTTTAAGCTAATTTGTTATTAAGAAGGAGGTGCCAGCTAGCTTTACATCCAATAGAATACAAGACGAAATAAGCTCAGTACGTAATCAGAGAATTTAATTAGTGTATGAGGCAGGACTTTCTGACAACAAAAGTTTTAGATACCTAATCTAAGAGTATACAAAACGTGAACTCTGTATCGCAGAAAGTATCTACATGAGGATAGAGCCATTTACATTCGTCTTGGTTATAGATACTGCAAACCTAACAAAGGCAGGGCAAAGAACTAAAATCTTGAGGACTCTCCAGCCCATAACGCAACCAGTTTACTGTGATCTAATTTTATCTACAAGGCAGTGTTCTCAACATGTTAAAACCCATGTTCCCTTTAGATTAGCATTAAAAAATTCCTCTCATGTACGTTTAAAATTTCACAACAAACCCAATGTTATAATAAAAACCCAAATCAAGTAATGGTAATTCTAAATATGCCTTTTCAAACTATGTAGACACCCTTCCCAGACTTGCTCCAAATTGGTATTCTCCCAGTTGAGAATCATTACTTTAGAGATGGCTTAAAAATTCTTTTTTTTAAAAGATTTTATTTATTTACGAGAGAAAGAGAGAGAGAGACAGGAGACAGACAAGACAGCCAGACAGAGTGGGAGAAGGAGCAGAGGGAGAGGGACAAGCCCAACTCGGTGCTCCATCTCAGAACCCTGAGGATCATGACCTAAGCCGAAACCAATAGATGCTTAACGACTGAGCCACCCAAGCGCCCCGCTTGAAAATTCTTATTCACTGAGTCAGGAAACTTTTGTTTCTCTTTTTATTTTAAGTAGGCAAAATGCCCAATGTGGGGCTTGAACTCATGACCCTGAGATTAAGAGTTGCATGCTCCACCAGTTGAGCCAGCTAGGCGCCCTTGGAAACTTTTGTCTCTTAATTTGATTCTTTAGAACATAACAAAACTCATCATATTAACACAAAGAGGAAACGAAGACTTAATATCAGCAGTGAATTTCATGACATCCTTGAAGGAAGTGAATGGTAATTACATTCACTAAGCCTGTACAGGATCAGTGATTTGGGAGCAATAAATCTAAAAAAACTCTTCAAGGAGGTGATGCATGAAAACATTTCTTTTTTTTTTTTATAAAGATTTTATTTATTTATTTGAGACAGAGAGAATGAGAGAGAGAGAGAGAGCACATGAGAGGGGGGAGGGTCAGAGGGAGAAGCAGACTCCCT